CATTCTATAGCCTTGCAAAATAAGTGGTGCTGTAATGCTGTATATTTTTTGGTTACGAACAAAAAAACTATATTTTAGGGGAAATCGTATATTCGTTTAATATGTTATAATTTACTTATAGTGAATTGTTTTTGGGTAAAAACATTTTATCAACAAGAAACTAATACATTGAATGTATTGGCAGATAATTGTTAATCAGTTTGAATTGAAGTATCGTGGTTTTATATTGATATTATGGTACATGTATTGTGCGACGAAATATTTGTTGTTTATCGTTGAGTTCCAAGTAGATACGTATATATATAGTTATAATTATTTCAAACACTGTTATCATCATACAATACATGACTTCACAAGGTCCTGCAATCGGAAACTAGGATTTAAAAATTTAATTTTGCTTTACCATGGTAATGCATGCATTGTCACATCACATTGGAATGTTTTAGTGACGTATAAATAAAACAATAATCAATAAATAATCAAATAAGCAATATTTTTATCAATGTAGTTTATTTATTACAAATGATTGGCAGAATTCAGTAGATTAGACACACGGTGTGGAGTTGAAAAATTGAATTCATGAAATCACAAACGTGTAAAAAACAATTTGTTTTGGTGTATTTGTTGTTAAATACTTACCTAGTAATTGATAATAGTAAAACACTATAGTACAGCGGTTCTCAAACTGAGCTCCGCGGATACCTAGGGCTCCGCGAGAATAGTCTAGGGGCTCTGTGGCTCCCCGAGAATATCTGTATTAATTAAATTTAAATTATTAATATTAATTAAATAATTTGTATATATTCGTATTTTACAGAAAATAAAATAAAAAGCAAATCATTTACAATTTACATCATTTTTTATAAATTTTTGTTGTGTCATATAGACAATTCTGATTTTTGGGGCTCCGTAATGTTTTTTTAGGAATATAAGGGCTCCGTGAACAAAAAAGTTTGAGAACCGCTGCTATAGTGAAAATTGTTGAATTTAAATACCCTTTTTCAGTGGCTTACTCTGCAGGTATTTCAATGCAAGGGGTTATAATATTATATGGAAAAAAATTATGTGTATCCATATATATAATTATATATATCAAAATATTTTTTAAGTTTTATTCATTTTATTATATGCATAGTGAAAAATGCCAAAAGTGGTTTGAACACCCTCCACTTGCCACCATGTGTATACTATTGTGTGTTTAGGCTAATATTATTATTTTTTTCATCTATGTTTTACATATAAATAATGTATGATTATTTCTATTAATAATGGGATAAAAATATGTACCCACATAGTTTGCTTAAGATTTTTAAACTTTAATGTACTTCCAAAAAACTATACAACAACAATTTTAATGAAAAAATAGAATTGAATGTATTAAGTATGTCTTTTCTATGCTGTCCTTGATTGTCAATACAAATTAAAGAAATTTTATGGTTTTTTTTTTTATGATAAAGTATTGAAGCTACTACTAATATTGTACATATTGATAATTTTTTATTGGTGATATTTCTTTGTACCATCAGTTGTAAATTTGTAATAGTTATTATTATCGTCATAGGTACATATAGTGTTAAATGTTTCGTCGTTTATTGTTGTAAAATTTCAATATAAACTCTTGCTTTGATATTCATATAATTCTGCCTTTTTGTAGAGCAAATATATGAATTGAAGGCGCTTAAAACTATTTTTTGTTTGCAATATTGTATACTTTAATATATTTTATCACTTTTTGGAGTGCAACGCATACGTGCACGTGCTGTAAACTTGTTGTACGGTCGCGCGAACGATGCTTGACAAAATATAATTATTTATGCTGCGTTATATACGCGATTTAGGGGGAAAACACCGTCACCGCATATATGTATGCTTAATGCACAGGATTTGAAACGCTACAGTCGTTATGCTGTTTCCGATCTCATATTACTGCTATTATACCTTCATGTTATTTACGCTGAGTAAAKGTACATAAAAATGTATATATACGACCGTATGGCATATACTACATTTCACTATAGACTAGACGATATATTGTACAAAAATAATATATTCCATACGGTTGTGCTGGTGGCGAGGGCTTTCAAGTCAATGGTGGTTGATGAACACCTAARAGTTGAAAAAATTACAACCGCAGAAAGAGAGCGTGATACGCAGAAAATTCGACATAACTTATGTATACAACATTCACGATACGACACTCGCTATCAACGACTTGACGTTATTATTATTATGGATATTTTCTACTGTGTGTCACGCTGGTACATCTCCATAGATGGTGTAATAGGTACATAATAGTTTGCTTATACGTGGGCCGGACACGCTGGACGAGATCACTCATCGTCTGTGTATAGAGAGGCCTATATACATAGCTGTGACGAATTCAATTATATGAAAACACTCGCTCGTACAGGTATACATATAAATATATTATATATTATGCAGGGTATAAGATTACCCGTGGAGAACATAATATTATAATGTGTAATGTGTGCGTCCTTCACCTTGCCTATTGTCGAACGCGGCCACGAACTTCTATACAGTGAAAGTATACGAGTATAATAATATCGTATCGTTTTATTGTGCACCCGTACTGTGTTACTACGAGGACTAGAAAACAAAACGAAATATATATCTGACCGTGAATTCGTAAATTTATATAAGTATATATATATATATATATATATATTATATAGGGCGCGTGTGCTCTATCAGAGTGAGGCACTCCTGTGCATTTTTTACGGTCTATGCAACGTATGTTATTAATTTTTTATATTATCGTCATTATCATTAATAATTGTATCGTATAAACTGCTGCAGTAATACGTCGTCCGGATTCGAGGGTGAGGCTCGGGTGACGACGAAGCCAAGCCCACTTCCATTGAACGCCAACACGGTTCATTAATCCCTCACAGGGGTTACGCATTGACATTATCGGGGTAAAAAATAGAAATTAAAAATACCTAAATCATGTGCACGCGGAATATATATTAACATATCGTGATAATTACGTGACGAGCTGCACGGACGACAGTGATGCAGCGTTTATTTTCGTCTCGACGGTCGTTTGACGTTAGGTGGACCGGAACGCCTCTCGTCCGTATCGAAAACCCCTTTTATCGTGAGCCGCACATATTATTACAGTGGATATAGTGGTCTGCGTGCGCGTATGGAAGAAGCTACGTYTRACATCGCTCTGCAGTAGGTAGTAAACAACGCAGATGCCGCGAATTTCTACAATATTAATTGTCTATACGGTGTTTTTCTTTATTGAATTTTATTATTATTGATTGTATTTTTTTATTTTTATTTTTTGAAGATCTCGCCGGATATGATGTATTTTAAATTATAACCAAAATAATAATAATAATAGTATTGCCAATATTTAATAGGTAATAAACATGTGCGTAATCTAAAGTTCAAACAAAGGCGGTAATACATGGTGGGTGTACGATGTTCATTGTTCATGCATTTTTGTGGCTAGTGTCTTGTCTCATGAACTAAAATTGGGTATCCTCGGTTCTTATGTTTTCTTTGCTACTACAGTGTGTGATTATTTTAAGTCATTCATAAAAATCTGAATATATACGCGCAACAGGTAGAATGGAAATAAGGTTTTTTGAGTGGGTGTTGACGATGACTGATTCCCTTAATGGTGGGTATAAATGTATAATATATGGTATATTATATTATATACCATTTGCGGCTACGTTTTAAAAATAACGAGAGTATCTATACTTACTTGGTCCAGAAAACAGTAAAATATTCACTTGTGATTGATTTATGTATTTTTTCTTTTAAAATTGATTTCGTGGACTTTAACTGTCTTTAATGGTCATGGCAATTTTGAACTGCTTACTCGTTTCTGAAATATACGCCTGATMATTGCAGGATAGTGGTATTCGTTATAACTTATAATTTATAGCAATATTAATTGAAATGTGATAGGTATTAAATAATATGATATAATTTTTATATAATGTGTCTACGAAATACTACCTACTACTTGTAATTTGTTAGAAAGTTTTATACGCCGAATTCCAATTTACCTATAGTTTCCATACTTTATTTTACTTAAACCGATACAAAATGTTTTCGTATAAATTTCACAGGAAAAAATCATAATAATCCTTCACGGTTAACCCTTAACCACCAATAGTTTTAACATAATATTTTCTCGTGACTGGAATACCACATAATATACTAGTTAGCAYCCTACGGGATACGTTTACGAGGTTAACTCAGTTAACAAAAATTGTCGTGACAAACTAGAAAAGAAAATTTTGTCATTATTCATCATCACCRAGCCGGGAAAATAATTTTAGTATGGCCAATAACATTCATTGTTTTATCATTAATGAAAACAATATKGTTTTTCTACAAGAAATTTTTAGTAAAAGACAAAATGTTTACATTATTGAAGTTAAGTTCCAAGACAATTGTTGGTCGTCCGGAAACAATATCGGAACTACRTACCATGACGCTACCAGTCCACTGATCACTCCTGACCAAATCGGGACGTATGGCACCTTAAATTTTAATTGATCGACGATGAAATCTAAATCTTAATTTCATTTACGTTTTGTCGTAAAGATGTACTTTTATAATGACTATTATTATGCGTGTCTAACATGAATCCTATCCCTATCTATTGTTTAGGTATCGAGGTATTATTGTAACAATGAATCTAACCTAAAATGCTATGTTTTATATTCAGAGCTAAATGATCGTTGTAAGTCGTCTGTTTGTAAAAAAATAAATGATTCTCAACACTATTGTAATAGCGTTCAGATGTTATTGCGGTTCGTATGATGTTGAACAACGCCCATGACGTTTCTTTAGGTTTTAAAATCGAATTAAAGCAATAAAGCGTAGAGTTAACGATCCGCAACCGAAATGTATTACAGGAAACTCTTTGTAACTTTACGTTTAAATTTTAAACATATTTTATATATATAATATATATGGGCTTGTATTTATATGATATACATTTTTGTTTAAAGGTTCTACCCAAAATTAACTTTACTCAACATCCGTGCGAAAAWTTTAGAGAATACTCTTGTGGAGGATGGCTGCAGACCAATGACTTGCCGGCTTACATGAGTTCGTGGAGTTTGAAAAAACGGATTCAACAAGATCGTAAGTACATCGAGTGCATATTATACGTGTTAGAATTATGCATTTTAAAATAAATATTGAAATTTAAACCGTACTTATTGAATTTGTATAGAAAAAATAAAGATCAGGAACATGGTTGTTACGCTGAGAAACGTTGCCAGTTCCACCTCGTTGAACTGGAAGATGAAGCATTTCTACGAATCGTGTATGAACCTAGACAATATCGAAACAGATGAAGGAAAACCTTTGAAGAAGATTATTAGTACAATCCTAGGTACGTTTTGTTCCACGTCTCTCGGGTGGTCCATAGTTAATGATTTTCTTTATGTGTACTTAACAATATAATATTATTCAATTATGTTTATAATATACATTAGGTGGCTGGCATGTCTTAAAAGATTTTAACGTTCATGAGTGGGACGTGACTAGTACTATTGTACAATTGCACTCCAAATACAACGTGAGTCCGTTTTTCAAGATAGACGTTGTTCCTGACGATAAGGTTTCAGGCCAAAACATAATTCAGGTATTATTATCGGTGCTCTTATTGTGTCATTAGTCATTACTTTGGTAGTTGGTCGTATAAAATATTAAATGATTTCACTATTTCAGATATCTCCTGCAGGACTAGGCTTACCCGACCGAAGATATTATTACAGGCAGCAAGACAACAGAGTAAGTTTGTKTGCACAATAATTAAGATAATATTTATAATACAACGATAACAATTAGAATAATCATGTTAGTAAGCATTAGATTACAGATGTATTATATTATAAATACGTGCTTTGATGAATATTTGCAGATTGTGGCAGCGTACAAACAGTACATGGTGGACGTATCGCAATTACTGGGCGCCACCAGTGGTGACGCATCGATATTCAGCAACGACATGTTCCACTACGAGAAACGTATCGCGGAAATTACCCCAGCTAGCAAACAAGAGGACCCATTTAACTCTCACAGACGRTTCAAGTTGTCGAAACTGAAAGAAATTGCTGGAATGGTACGAAGATACTATATGATCATATTATAATAAACAAACATATTATGTCGTAACGATTCCATACATATTATAGTTATTTATTATTAGTTTTGTATATCATATTATAAATTGATTTCGACTTTGTTTTAGATCCCACTTTTAGACATCTTGCAATCAAAGTTCCCAGAAAGTAACATTGGTGACGACACGTTCATCTCGGTTGTATCGCCGACCTATTTCAGTAACTTGTCTAATCTGATATCGTCGTCAGACCGCAGGTTAGTTTTTCGACATCGTGCATTCTGATAATTTCATTTCTAACAGAATACTATATAATTGTGTTTTTTCAAACAGTGGACTTAACGACTATTTTATGTGGAAAATGGCTGAAGCCTATGTCCCATATTTGTCGGTGAAGTTTAGAGAAATCGTTAAAATTTACACAGCCGAGCTTACGGGTGAGAAAGATTTGCCGCCTAGATGGGAGATTTGCGTTTCTTTGTTGCAAAAGTTTATGGGATTCGGTATAACTGCTACGCTGGAACCAAACATCGAAAAAAAAACTGAAGTTGTAGCTGTAGTGAAAGATGTTTTTGAGAACATTAAAGAGTCGATCATATCAAACGTTAAAAAAAATCAAGACTTAGGACCCGAATTGAGTGATCACGTTTTAAACAAGGTAATTGTTTATATACCTCTAAATTATTTGGTTTGATTAGTGGATTATTTTTAACTCATTTCTGTTTTAGTTGAATTCACTGACAGTACAAATCGGGCTACCAGAAAATATGCTTCAAGAGAATTACGTGAATCAATTTTATAACCAGTTACCTATTCAAAAGCTTGACTTTTTCCAAAACGTAAATTATGCCATATCATTCATTAAAGATTACTCGCAGATCAAACTCAAATCCAAGAAAGAAGAATATGGGTAAGTCTAATATTATAATACCAAAATAGTTGACCATTCATAGCTTTAAATTTGTTCAGTTTTTTACTTAAAATACTGTGTCAACTTTAAGTGTAAGCGCCCAGCTAGTGTATTATTAATTATTGTTAAAATGTTAAGATATTGTTAAAATACATTTTAAAAAAAGGAATAGATTTATTATCATCAAGAAAAATTGTATTTATTTTAATAATTTTAATACATTATTTTAGTATAATTCAAAATTATATTATTAATTAATATTTGTCAGAGTAAATTGAATAAGCGTTTCATCATAAAATTTAATAATAATAACAATAAGATACATTGCTTACTATTTATAAGCTTTTGTTATATGGCCATATAACTGAAAATATTGATAACAATTTGTATAACATTTTTTGAATATTTAAATATTTTTTAATTCACCTTCGTTCTATTCTACACAGGTGGTTAGATGACTTGGTGTCTGAAGATCCAAAAGTCACATACAACGTAGCCAGCAACAAAGTAATCGTTCCACTGTCATTGCTTTCGCCACCTTATTTCGAGATCGGTTATCCTGAGTAAGTCCCAAAAATATATAAAATATGTGTGTATGTTCACATAAACGTATATTTATCTAGAATCGATCTTGAGAATAACTCCTCTTCTGTTTCACAGGGCTTTGTTGTATGGAGGTTTGGGTGTAGAAATCAGCTCAGCCATTCTGTCCAGCGTGTATCCACCTGGAGTGGCTCACGGCACGGACGGAGTATTGTTACAAGCCCACTCGGCGGCCGTCAACCGAAGTATCGGCGCCACAATTGAGGCCCGCTCTTGCTTCGGTCAATTCCTAAAAGACCAACAGGTGGAGTACACTAACAATACTGTGTTAACAGCCATGTTATCAGTATCGAGTGTTCGGTTTGCCCTTCAGGTATGTTTATTAAATGATAATGATGTGTGGTAGTGATATTTATGTCATCCGCTTAATGATATCATAACTCATAATCGTAAGCCCGTCGTATAGTCCATACTCCATAGACGTTGTTTGCCGAGGAAAGGTTGGTCATCACAAATCTACTGTGTTCGTAAATCGACACTAAAATTTTTATGTGAATGTCAATCCTGTTGTCTTTGTATACACTTGACGATTTGATGTTGTATATATATATATATATATATATATATGTTTTATTACTTATTTTGTATGCGAAACCTCTTTGATGTATATTACGATCAAAAAGTTTCCCTTAGACATATTTAGGTAGGTATTTAAACGATTGGGTTTTTAACTTAACCTTACTGACTCATAAATATTCGATCATCACTATAAACTATACATTTTAGGTCTTAAAATCTATAGGTGATAAATTTCTAATTATTATTGTAATAATTTAAGTACAACTGTTTTATCATCACTCTATTATCGCCTTTTTACWATTGTAAATTATTTATTTTAAGCTTCGTTTGAAATCACGATGATCATATTTAATGYCTTATTTTCACAGAGCTTGACGCAAAAAACTCAAACTGAAACACATTACCATCAACCAGCCATGGAGTCATATGAATACGAYGCGCTGTTCTTCATAGGATACGCACAAGTAAGAACATCAGCAGTACAATAATGAGTAAAATTAATTCAGACATTAATAAATTTGATTTTTAAATGTTATTAAATTAATCCTTAATTAATTTCAACAGTTCTGTAAGAGTCTGAATATTAAATGATCTGTTATGTGTTTTAATGTTCTGTTAAATTTAATTAATTTAAAATTTAGTTTGAGACCTTTCTTGCGATAACTATACTTTTGTATGTACGGTTTTTACATCCAAGTTTCAAATTATAAAGAGCGTCTTTTTATAATTTGTTATCTGTATATTTAACATGATAATATCATTATTAATTATATCAAGGTACCTATGCCAATTTTAAAATAATAATATTTATCTTTTTTACAGTCTCTATGCACAATCAAATCTCCACAACAACAAGATTTGGACACTATGTACGACTTGATGTCTGACGAATCTCTTTTGTAAGTATAATAGTGTTATTATGTAACACGCGGCGTTCCATATAGGCAACACCGCAACACATTGTTATGTAAAGTGGCAT